TAAATTATTATGAGGGAAATGTGAAATTACCGTTGTTTGACCCCATGTTTTATGTCAAATGTCACTTGGCACATGGCGCGTCATATTTGTTAAACAAAAAGTTATTTTTGGTCTTGCGTAAAGTTTATTACGATCATAATATAGATACTGCGGTGAGGCAACACCTTTATGTTAATTAGCCCTAATTGTCTTACATTAGTGATTACGCTCGTCACATGGGCAATTGACAACTTACACGTCAAGCTCATTAATTATGTATATAATTATATCGCTGCATGTAATGTACATAAAATACATAAGTAATTATGTACAAATTGTGACTTTTTATTATACACTATGTAATGTTTACATTGGGCTTGGTTAATAATTATTACAAGGCTAAGTTTGAGAAAAAATTTAGGATTTTTGTTTTTCTTATCAAAGTTAAAGGTAATATATTTTAAGAATTTTTTTTATTGAATATTTTAAGATTTTCATTTTATTGAATCTAGACATTTGTTTAAAGGTACATTATACTTCAGAAATGAATATTTTTTTCTTCTTTAGAAAGAGCAAACATGAGTTTTATGACATTGAAATAATGAATTTAGAATAATTGTTAGATAGATTCTTGTCACATGAAGAAAGTCGCGCCAAATATAGAAAAAATTTTGTTATAAAAGTAGCAAAAAGTAAACAAAGTAGTATTTTGACTTCCATACAGTATACTTAATCAATATATAAAATCTCTAATTACCAAAATGCAACAGAAGCCAAAAATGGTGTAAATAAATATAAGTTTACCAATCATAATAACATTTTGGAAACAAAAACAGTCAGAGGACATCAAAAATGGGGAAAAAAAGCTTTTGAAAATAAAAGGCAATTTTACTGGGGGATAATGGGCCTTTAACTGTTATATGTGTGACAGTGTTATTTAAATCATTGGCTGTTAATTGCTATTATTATGATTCATTCATTATTATTATGATTTATTTATTATTATTTTTACAAAAAAAGAAAAGCATCTTTAAGTAAGTAAGAGTTCTGGACTTTATTTATTGGATGGAAACATGAACATTTTAAAGTTTTACATTATTAATACAAATGTATAATTATATTTAAATGAAAAGTTTTGTGTGTGTTTGAGTGAATTATATTTTATTATATTTAATCAAGTAACTGTTCATGTTTGTGTTATATTTGTGGTAATATAAGACCAAATGTTTGGTAATTATCATTTACGGACATTTTGGAAATGGAAAAAAAATAGCCTCAATGTTTAGCTGTTAGCTGATTTAATGCAAAAAGCCTGTAGATGCAAGGCAACTAAATAAATCTATGCAACCAGTACAGTTCAAGATAAGCCCACACATTTGTGCCATCTGATCATGGTCTGCACTGTTTGCTTAGCAGTTTAAGTGCTGATATTGAAATTTTCCCTAAAAATAATGGTTTTGTCCAGACTGAAAGATGGGCATGTCCATTAAAGATTTTTAGCTGACTGCTTAAGATGCCTGAGTTTAAGATTTGGGAAGTATTTTAGGTGACCACTGATTGTGACCACTGAACAGATGTATAAAATAGAGAGATTTTTGTCAGGGCCGTCACAAAATGGCTGTCTAGAGGTCAGGTGACCGCTGAAAAACAGGTGACCGTTAGTACAGGTTTTACTGTGAATGGATTTTTTATTAATTCATTGAAATATTGAGTAAAATATTCAGACAGACATTGAAAATGAAAATTGATAATAGAAATGCTATTTCCTATGCATGGAGGGGTGGGGTGGGGTGATATTGGTATAAGGTAATGGGGGCGAATGCATGCATTTTTACGAAATTTGTAGAATTCTTTAGAAATATTACTAAATATTATACTAATTGAAATTTATAGTAGAAAGTATCTCTTTTCTTAAATGGTAGGTAAATAAATTTAATTTCTTTAATAAGTTCTCGCTGGAAAAACTTCAATATCTTTTTTCCATCTTTTTGTTTTAGTCAGGAAGACCATTGATCCATCAAACTTTTCAGTCAGACTAAGAGTTTTCTTCTCCTTTTCTTCTTTTCTGTTTCTTCAATCTCCCCTTTTAAATCTTTTTCTTTTTAAGTCACAAAGACAATTTTCCTAACTATTCTTTCAGTATAAATTCTTCTTATATTTCTTCTTTTCTGTTTCTATGCTAGAAGATTAATTAATTTTAGTTTGACGTATTTGAAACAAAATTGCAGCTATCCCATACTCACCTACTGGAGTTCATCATATCAGGATGATACCATAAAATGTTTAAAGATTTTTTAAATGGTTACCCTTATTGGCTTATTATCACGGAATGATATAAAGAACTTACTGTATACTTATTTTAATATGACCACCACCCAAACTTCAATGTAGGCAACAGGAAAAAAAATCTTTGTTACAAAGATTTTACATAATTATACCCAAAACATAGTATTTTCCAAAGCTATGCCCAATCAAAACTGCACATTGTAAGCTTAATTTATGAATTTTCTAATCGGTTTTTAGCTAAAAACCAACCATACTCATTTAATCTGATAAACATGACATCCCTAATTATTACTAAGATATATATTGTACACTTAATAAAAAAATCATGTTTTTGAAGAAACGTGAGCTTGGTTGTTTCTTGCTATTATTACTCATAATTTTTTATATAATTTCTCTGGCCATTGCTCTTTCACAGTTAGGTGACTGGATAAAATAATGAAATAAGCTGAGAATGAATATTGAAGGGGTCATCATAAAACAGTTCATTGGTACCGAGTTGTAATAAACACAGTAAACTTGTGATTAACATTAAACTTAATGATGTCTGCTGACAGTTTAGCATAAATCAATAAAAAAAATAGAAATTTATCCTTACAGTCATCTGGCAGCTTATGAACCTACGCATGTGACCCGTGAGTGCAGACTGAATCAAAGCACAGAAGGAGCTGAATAAATTTGTTTGGGTCTCAGACTGTCAGAAAGATGAAGGTTGTGAGATTATAAAACAATTTGTTTTTGTATAGTGCCACCGATGCTTTCCAGCGTTTTAGATGTAGTAAATTGGCTATAAGACTAATTGCAACACTGATATTCAATCCAATGTTTATTTGACTTAAACAATTTGTTTAAAAAAAATGAGTTGCCTTATCTGGGATTTGAACTCAAGACCTCTCGCTTCCTAAGCGAGCGCGCAAACCCCTCGGCCACATGAATTTGTGTTAACGGCCTGAAGAAAACCATATTATTCTAAATTAGGGTTTGTAACGACGCTAACTGTTGTTTAACACTTGTGTAAATAGTCATGGCGCTTACTATAAGCATGTATATCTATAAAGAATGAAACAAATATTAGAAATCTTCGACCATTCGGGAATTATTTTGCTTGAAAATTAATGCGCCTGTCATGTGACCATATTTACGCAGTGATCTCCCCTGAATTTTCGGCCTTTGTGTTACATATACAGGGAAGTAACCGCTTCAAAAAAGTGGACTACCGTACTTTCGGCAATTGCAATTAACAGCATTAGAGCCTGAAATTTCGGTACCATTATTTGTTTGGTCTGACGACCCAAACAAATAAAAATCAGCCAATCAGATTAGTACCATCTGCACTGTTCGCTATTCAGTCAGAATATATCTTGAAATTTTTGCTAAAAATGATGAACTGTCTAGATGGGCACATTTGAGGCATGTACACATAATGTGTTAATAAAATTATATAGGTAATTATCAAGGGAATGCAGGCCCGGACAGGTATGTTCAAACCTCATTGGTGGCTTGCTCCTTCAGGAAGAAACTTTGCTCACATTGTTTGCCGGACTACTTTCTTCTAAATTGAGCAATGATACACAAAATTAAAGGGAAAGTCTTTAAATTTTGATCATCAGGTCAAAAAAGAGAAATAGTATAAAAAATAAACAGAAGGGTTTTTCTATAAATACGGGATTTAATCTATAAATACATGTTTTATTTTTGTATCATAGTATGAAAATTATCATATTTCATTTCACTTGTGGCCTATTGCCACTATAGAAATATTTATTTTCATACCAGTCGGTGAAAATAACTCTTGTATTTATAGAAAACATTTAAATGAATGTCTTATATTTATTAAAAGGGCATTTTATTAAATAGTTATTGTAAACAGAATTAGTTGTAATGTATGTACTATAGAAAGGCCAGGAACCAACCAGTCTTATATCAAAAGGTGGGTTTTGGTTATTTTAGTGGAACCAGCTAGAATTAATGTTATGATAATTGTTGGAACAGGTTTTACAGGGTAGTTTTGCTATTACATGTACATATTTGTACATTGAATAAATGAATTTGATTTTGCATATAAAATATTTCAGTTAAAATCTTGAAATTACACATTAAAAAATTGAGGCAATACATTATCAGTAGCATTAAAGCAATGTTTTATGTGATATTAATTATTATATTACACATACAAATGTACATGTATAATAGTCTTTACTGTAAAATCACTTTCTTTTGCATCTGAGTATAATTATTTGTTTGCCACAACCATTATAATTGCCACAAAAATTACAACCCAAATTCCATTAAGGGCATTGGTGGGGGGTATGAATCGTATTCAGTGATAGTTATAATTAATGTTAGAAACAATTTAATACTATATTTCTAAGTATGTAACATAACTTTACTTCTTAACTTTTTTCATACAAACCTGATATTAAATACAAACTTGATATTAATACATGTATAACTTTATTTTTAATCTTTTTAAACGATTATAATATGTGCTTAGCATTTTTTACAACCATCCATTACCATAATACTCCATAACTATATTTTAAATCTTTTTTACAAGGTCTTTAACAGAATTTTTATACTAAGCATGTTAACATCCCAAATTTTGTCCCCCTTCTAAAACTGTCCTTCAGTCTCCAGTTCATATTTTTAGTAATTTCAAAGTGAAGTTGTTACAAAAACTGGTAATGTGATACCATTCATAGATATATTTTCACATATTTGTCTTTTATTGGTTACAGTTTTTGATTGACGAGGACGTTGCCTATCTACATTCTGTGCAAAGTCCGAGACCCGGCACTCAACACGAGCCTTCTGTTGTAACCAACGGTTATGGTGAATACCAGACGGTGTCTGACGTAACCAACGGTTACGCTCCAAATTACCCATCATACAATACTCATAATCACCAGGAAAATCATCAGGTCGGTCGAATTGTAAACGGTACTCAAAATCAAGTTATTCAGGTCACAGTGCATTCTGGGACAAATCAGCAAGACGAGTCACAGGGAAGACTGAGCCCAGTGCAAGCTACATCTCCAGTAAACTTCCGACAAGGACCAGCCTTGCTAGGTTCTGCACTTACAGGTAGCGTGTAATACAAAGCAAATAAAAGTTCAAAATATAAAAACTAGCCGAAAGAATCTTCATGGCAGAATGGTAAAAGTTGCCACAAACTGTTGTAGTACGTGACAAGATGACAGGAGCATTAACTTTATAAAAAAGAATTAACTTAAAGCCATCCAGTTTATTAGCCAAAGATTGATAATGGTACCTGGATAACCACAGCTTATGCTGAATATTATGCATATAGAGTGGTGTTTTTTCTATGCCAGAACAGTCTTTATCCCATCTGAATGTAGTCACAACTTTGCACATGTCTTTAGAATACTAATTATAGGTCGTTTTCAAAGACTCATTATTCATGGGTGTCCTTGGCCGTTTGATTAAGGTCGTTGACTTCAAACCACTTGCCTTAATTGATATCTATTTCCTAATTAGTTGCTGAGCAACTTTAATTGTTTTTTCCATTTTCAATTTACAGCAAAAACAATTGTTTTTCACTGTTATTCAATATCATAGTTAGATTACATTCATCTAGGTTTTTAGATTGTATTTTTTAGTGTGTGATTCCCTAGCATTATTTAATTTTTGGTTCCTTTACCTGTGTCTGATTCCCTAGCATTAATTTATCCCACTTTTTTTTTCAAATCACTCATGTGATACACATGGAATAATATAATTATTGTAGTAGCTTTCTGAAGCTTTGTTTTGTTTTGTTTTTGCTATGAGCAGCCTTGGAGTGAGGCCAAAGGTTGAACGAGATATCCATATTCACATTCTGTGAGAAGCAAAAATACAAGACCTCAGAAAGCTACTACAACATCATTTTCCTTTTATTATATACCTATAAATTCTAAGACAAAAAGAGTTTCAATTTCCTGAACAAAAAAAAAAACCATATCTGTCAAGAAAAAATAATATTCAATGAATGACCATTAGCAAAAGAGGCCACCCACTCACTAGCATCAGTTCCCGGTTTCCAATGCTACATAATAATGCATAGCTCTATGCTAACATGTGAACCAATAGAGAAAAATAGTCTGGCACTTCCATGACTGTATGGTACTGTATTTGTTGCTTACATAATACAGATTTTTCCATCCAACGAATTGCATTAGCACTCTGTGATTTGTGTGTATTTTAGGGGAAAAATTAATGGGTAGATAATTAAAATAAATTTGAAGGGATTTTTTTTAAATTTGTGTATTTTTTTCTGTCTTATTTGAACTTACATTGTATTATAATATTGCATTTAGCCATTGATATATTAAATTTAAAATTAGACTGGGCTCTTGATCTTAGTGTTTTTAGACACATATAATGCTTTTAGGAAGTTATACTGGTTCCTCTGTGAAAGTGGGGGTTGCCGGCCACCTGCTTTTATCCAACAAATGAAGATAAGTGATAGGAAAATTGTTCCTTTGTGTTTCTTATCATTTTGTAGGGTTCATTATTGTGGGAAGAAATGAATTTGTGTTATTTTTACCCTTTGGGTTAATTTATCTATTTATTATAGCAATTACCAGGTGTAAAGATATATTATGATAAAAACCTGTCCTTTCTGTTAAATGATCTAAGATGGGCATAAGGATATAGAAAAAATAATTATTACTTTCTTTTGTTTTCTGTCAAAAATATTGTGTAAAATAAAATGTGGAATTCTTTTCAAGGTATACGTATATTTCTTACAAATAATTTTTTTTTTCATTTCAATAAAAAAAACATGCTAAAAGGTTTTTTTTAGTTAGTATTTCATTAGTTAAATTATATGTGTAGTGGCATGGCAGAGTGTTTAACGCGGCAGACTATCATAAGTATCTCAGGATCTACAGCTACTTCAAGATTCTAGAGTGTTTCAATAAGCTAATAATACTATTACTTCCTACACACTCAAATTAAAAAGTATCTGTTTAAATTAAAGTAAAATTATTTCAAAAATTTAAAAATGCTATTTTCTTGAGCAAGAAACTTTACACTTTTTGCTTTGTTAACTGCATGATTGGTTCCAGAGAAGAGACTTCCACAGTGTGTCTATAAATATATAGGTTCTAATATGATTGAACAAAAATGAATTGAGCCGCTTCATGACAAAACCAACATAATGGGTTTGCGACCAGCAAGGATCCAGACCAGCCTGCGCATCTGCGCAGTCAGTCAGATCAGGATCCACGCTGTTCGCTTACAAACCCTAAACTGATAGCGGACAGCACGGATCCTTAACTGTGCGGATGTCTGGATCCATGCTGGTGGCAAACCCATTATGTTGGTTTTGTCATGGCGCAGCTCAAATTCTGTATGAACTAAAAGATTAGCTTAATGTTTCCTGAAGTAGAATGTTAGTAAATGTTGGTAAATAGCCTCCATAGTAATTTCAAGACTATTTTCTTAATTTTGATATTTCCATAAAACAAATAATGGTTAGATAATAGCTCTATGTACAACACAATTAAGTTATTTTACTGAAATTGTGATATTTTGATTAAGGCCATAAGGCTGAATTGATGTAAATAAAGATATATAAGTGTCAAGAGAGTCTGTTTTCCAATGGTTGGTGATCCAAGATGTAATTTCAGCTAGATTATAGTTTAGTTTTATACTATTGTACATGCCATAATTCTGGAAAAAAAGTGAACACGGTTCTATGCTTTATCTTTAATATCACTGTTTTATTATTTTGCAGACGGTAGACAGGAAGTGGATGAGACCGGCTCAGTTTCTGCTCGAGCTGACTCGACGAATTTCCTGTCGGTATCCGAGAAATTTCTCTCAAGATTGGTCAGTGGAACCAGAACGTAATCAGTCTGGTTCCAGTTCATCTCTTAGCTCTCTATCTCATCTGGATGATGCTATAGCAGTTGCAACACAGGAAGTGGAGAGAGACAAGGTCTCCCAGAATGCATCTGTATACAGGAAGTCAGAAAAACAAATGCTCTTACCAACTCAGAATCAAAATATTGTGGTAGAAAAACATCCATACTCATCAACTGTTTTTCAAAGTCAGCAGATAAATAAGAGAACTGACTTTCTTTTACAGGGACCAAGAGAACCAAAAAGTGTAAAATTTCAAGCTAAAACTAGTTATATTAAACCTGATTCTTTAAAAATGGATGAAACAGTCAAAGAAGAAAATGCTCGAAATGAGAGAGATAGTATGTCTGTTAAAGTATCCAAAACAGGAAATAATACTGTTGACAAGGAAATAGTGAACAGTAATGGTTACCACGGTGAAGATGTAGAAGAAAGCAAGGTTGGAAATGGTGTTCATGAGAATAGTGGGTCTGTAATATTTACTCAACATGTAACAGATATTTATACACACACTGCACAGCAGAATGCTAGAAGTCATGTGACTAATTTAGAAATGCTCAGAGTTAACCTGCATGCAATGGTGAATGGGAATCACACCCTCCTTGCAACTGGTGATGTTTATCTGGCTGATACAACACCCAGTACACAGCAGGTCACGCCCTCTGCTCCTCCTATTTCCCCTCCCCCACCCCCACCTGTTACCTTGATACCTGAACAAGACAATGTGTCGCAACCAATAGGACATGATTTCAAAATGCCCTCCAAAAATGCACCCCAAATGCTTGGTTATGGGAATCAGACTTCTTTAGTGTCTCCACCCCTTTCTTCTCACCAAACTCCTCCCACTTCAACTGGACCCACCTTTCAGCATGCAAATGATAACCAAGAGCAAAAGTTTCCACAATTTACACCACCTGCACAGCAGCTTGGAATAGGAAACCAGCAAGCTTTTGTACCACCACCGCCTCCACCACCACCAGAGGCCGGGAAACAGTCAGTAAGAAACTCTGTGTCTGATGAAATCAAAAGAAAGTCTGCTTCTTTACCTGCTAGGTTAGTTATCCAGGAAAGGTGATGGAAATTTGTATTGTATTTTAAAATGTTTAAATAGAGGATATTAAATGAGTATCGGTTCAATACTGAATTTATTGAAAGAGTTGAATAAAAATTATATTATCAGCAGAATATTATTTTATTCAAAGAGTTTAATAAAATCAGTATTGAACTTACACTTATATATATTCTATTTATCACATACCCAAATAAAGACTGTTTAATGAATCTTTTTTCAGTGACACACTTACAGTATAATGCTAACATTTAGCATGCCTTTACACTATGTTTGTATAACACAAATGACCTGACATTAAAACATATGCACTGTTACATAAGTGCAATGCTATTTATACGGAGTCGCAAAATCGGCACGGGTATGTGATAAAGCTGTATATTTGCTGTCTGTACATTACAAAATTATTGTTTGAATTTCGAAAAAAGAATGCTTCCTAAATACCTATATACTTTCATATGACTGCATACACAAAAATCATTACTGACCTGCTTAAAATAGCAGCATGATATTTTGATTCAGAATGTTTATTCTGTTTACGTGCAATATTCAGAGTCAGATCAGAGTTAATTAAATCATGTACCCAAACATGCACAGCGCGTTAAATGGAGTGCAGTTATAAGTTATCGGCACTCCAGCTACCGCACTGTCAGTCGGGCATGCTTATTGATTGGGGATTTTTCTGCGGATTACAGGGAAAGGGGTTTAGATGCTCGTACATTGGTTACTTTTCTCAGAAGTTTCATATTGTGACGACATGGAACGTTTTTTTATTTGTGCCTTTGATACAAAAGAGACAGAACATCAAAACACTTAGCTGTCTGATTTATACACTGGGGGGAGAGGGTATAGCAAGTACAACCAGATAGCCTCGTGTTTTGATGCTCTTTCTATCACATATTGCATGATTGCATTTTAGATATTTTTATCCCCTGTTTGTAACTGCAGAGGGATTTGACTTTGTCTGTCTGTCTGTCTGTTGACAATATTGGTTTCAGCATGATTACTTTGCAAGGATATCAATGATCATGTTAATATTTGGCATGTAAGTCTGTGATATCAAAGCACAGGTTAAGTTCAATTTTCAGTGCTGTCTACTTATTTATAACCAAACAAGTAATTGGCAAGAAAATATTGGTTTTCAGGGGGAAAAAATTTGAAGGACTTCAGTGTATATATTTGTCCTGTAATGAGCTACTATTATATAAAAAACAAAGGTTAAGTTCGATTTTCACTGTAATCATCTTTTCATTCATAGAGTAATCCCCCTTTTTAAACAAATTTTCTGTGAAATTATTGGTTTCTGTAAGACAAATTTTTAAGTATTTCATTGATTGCCTTGATATTTAGCATATAAGTATGTATTTCAATTAGATTTTCACTGCAATTAACTAAATGTTATTGACAGAGGGTTTATGATGTCCCTTTTAAAGCAAGTTTTATGAAGTTATATTTTTGTTCATGATAAATTTGCCATATCAGGCATCGATAAATTGCCCTGCCTCAGAGGAGATCTTGTTAATAAAATTTTGTGCACATGTACTCATTAGATAGTACACTAAAACTAAAAAACATGGAAAGCACATTCATTTGACAGTGTTCAACCTTATTGTCAAAATCAAGTTTCTAACATCTACTTAGGCAGGTTTAGGTTTAACATTTTTATTATATTCCTAATTCACTGGAAGCAATCTGTTAAAACTTGATATGCATCTTTATGGCAAATTTATTGTATTATCGTTTATTTAAACTTTTTACTCCACCATTGATTTTAGCCTCAACAATTTAAAGAATTGAGAGAGCTATTGTACCCTCCTCGGCATCTGAGCATCATACTATGGTTAAGTTTTTACGTGCATGTTGGAATCTCCAAAACTGCTGATGGGAATGGGATGAAACTTTGCAAACTTGTTCTCTGTGATAATCTAACTTGATGGACACAGGTCCCATAACTTTTGTGTAACCTTTATACAGAGTTATGCTCCTTTTTTGACCGTTGATCTCCGAGAATAGTCAAACAAGCCATCTTATGGACAGCAATGATGTTATGGAAATTTTATTGAGCCAAGTCATGACAAACCCAAGGTAATGCATTTGCAACCAGCAAGGATCCAGATCAGCCTGCGCATCTGCGCAGTCTGATCTGGATCCATGCTGTTTTGCTTACAAACCCTATAACAAGTAGAGAAACTGATAGCGAACAGCATGGATCCTGATCAGACTGAGTGGATGCTCAGGCTAGTCTGGATCCATGCTGGTCGCAAATGCACTATGTTGGTTTTTTCGTGATGGGGCTCAATTGTCTTTCGTTAAGTTTAACGTACTGTAAGGCACCGAGAATAATTAAGGATGCACAGTCAAATGAATTGTCAAAAATTTCCAATCCTTTAGTTAAACGGCATCCTGTTTTTTTTTATATTCATGTCCTTTCATTTAAGTATGATCAACAACTGGCCATCCTTTGTATTTATTTATAGTTTGATTCCAACAAAGAATTCTTGCTAAGAGACAACACAGCAGCTCGGATATGTAAACATTTATTTTCACTTCAGATAGCTGCCAAAAACATATAATTATCAAACTGTATAAAAATAGTGCTTTGTTAATTACAAACTAGACATGTCACTGGGTGCAAAATAAATAAGTTATTATTCTTAAATAAATGAGGATAGGCTCATCATCAGGTATATTGGTTCAAATCCATGTCCATCTGAAATCACTACATGCCAAACAAATGACAACCACTTCCGGAAAAAAATCTTTTATTTTCATTCCCAAGCCATGATCCATAATGGCAAAAGGTCTTAAAGTGTTACCCTGTCCATTTGTGCATGTGTGCATGGGTGGGTGCATGAGTATGTGTGTTTGAATACATTGTCTAGCCCATACCTCGGTTATGCAAAAACATTTTGGCACAAATGCTAAACATGATGAAATCAGGACTGATGTGTCATGCCTAAGACCTAGGCTGCTAGCTCCAAGGTCAAGGTCACACTAAGAGGTCAAAGGTTAGGAGTTAAAAAATCTTGTTTGGTACATAACATTGTCCTGCATCAAACAATTTTGAAATCAGTTGGCAGAAGTGTTTAATATAATGTGTCCGTGTTGTCCAAGTAGATCTTTGACAATATAAAAGTAATTGTTACTTATGTAAAATCCTTTAGTAATTTTATTTTTCCGGTTTTGTGCTCCTGTACAGATTTTCTCTCTTAAAGGGACTCCACTGAGGTTTTTTGACATAACGGGACTGGAAATAATTTTTTGAGATTATTACTCTATTTGATGTAAATCTATACTAATAACTTATTGGCAAAAATTCATGTAAATTAGTATAACTTATTGGCAAAAATTCATGTCATTAGCTGGCTCCTTTTTTCCAGAATAATTATTATAACAGCGAAAAATGACACAAAACTGAAAAGCGTTTAAATGCTTTTCACTCAGATCGGACGAAGAATGACACAAAGATACAATTTTCAATGTATTTCTTGTTTATTTCTTTGTTATATTTTATTGATATTTTTGTTGTAATTAAGTGCTCATGTTGATCTATGTGAAAAATTAAAATTTTATAGTTTTAGCCTTATAAACCTCAGTGGAAATCCTTTAATAAAGTGCTTATTTTAAAAAAGAATTGATTTATCAACAGCTATCTGTCCTCTTACATTAAAATGTCTTCCATACTCATATAATTGCAAAATGTAAACGAATAACAACTTTTTTTCGTATCATTTGATGTCACATATACATAGTAGGCCTATGGCATCCATTTTACATATATAGAACCCCATCCAAGTTTTACATATCTGTCATTGTTGTGAATGTTTTTCTGCAACTTTAATAAGTATTTTGTGTAAAATTACTTGTTTTGGAGTTCATATCGTCAACTTCGAGTGCAGTAACGGGTTAAGTCCATCTATTAAAGTTTGATAGGAATTAACCAGTTATTGCATTAAAAGTTGCAGAACTCGAAAACCCTGCATACAAACTTTTGAAAAGGTGATATCCCTTTAGAAAGGTATGGATTGAAATAATACATTTAAATAAAAAGTCACAAAATTGATTTGATTCTGTTCAATTTAGAAACAATGAAAAAGAGAGCACATGTATACTTTAATATGCATCCTAGCATTTAGGCAAATTAATGAAAAGTGAAAATCTTAGAAATTTTTAAGTAATTTGATAAATTTGACTCGAAAATGTACCAAAAGACTGGAACCTTGTGCCGTATGTTGTAGTTGATTGAATTTTTCTCACTCAAATTTCATTGCTATTTTTAGACCTGTCGCCTTATTTACTGCGGAGATGATGAAATCTCAACGAAGCACACTTACACCTGCCCAGGCAAGGACGGCTATTGACAATAGTTCTAAGAGTGATTTTATAACTGAATTGAAGCAGGCAACCAAAGGTCCTGCCTTACGTAAAACCTCTAAAAGTTCAGAACCTGGGGCAAAACCTTTGACCCCAGCTTTGACCTTTACCTCGGGACTGAAGACTGTTGCCAAGGGCAATAATGCCAATGGAGATTCAAAGGTAATTTGCCTTTTCCGTTTGCTATAATTGTGAATGGTATCTTGTGAAAATCAGCATTATAATTTAATATATAATTTGAATTTAATTCTTATAAATGCTACTGGTGTTTGTAAAGTATTTCTTTATAAATTTTTCCAGTATGAATGATAATATCTGTGAAATTCATATACCAAAAGATACACTGAATGAATTTCTAGGACATCAGAATACTACTGTCAACAATTTCTGTCTTGAATCTAGTATTTTTTCTTGCAGATAAATATTTATTAAAAAAAGAAAAGGTTTTGGTTAATGACCGAGGCTGATAAATTGATACTTGTGGACAAAGATCCTTTAATATACGGAAACTTAAATTTTAAGTTGACATTAGCTGAATACTTTTTCAGGACTCAAAATTAGAATTAACTGGTGAATGGGACCCCAAAAATTTTGTGGACAAAGTGCCGAACAGAAATGACCTTCCTGCCTGGAAAGTCCAGCTTCAGGCTCGACAGATTGCTGAGAAAGCTATGAAAGAAACCCTGGAAGTCAGGAAGGTAAAATATCTTTGCACTTATTATTTTTTTGTGTGAAAAAATATGGACAGCTCAGAGCAACAAAATTGAAAATGTTGATGGAATGTAGTGTAAAGTTCAGGCTAAGTCTAGGCCCTTTAGCACTGGCTTTAGCAGACTTTAACTTTCACACATTAAAAGGGTAATCTTTTTAATTTTAACACCATCCACAAAGGTGTCCTAGACATATTGCTTTGTCAGTGGTTCTACTTTGGTGCCAGTGTGTAGTACCAGACATTGACTGCATGGATCTTCTCAAGGTACTGACTACTGTCCTGTGCTAGCCTGTGAATAACAGCATTAGAACATGCATTTTTAGACCTTCCTTAGACAGTTACGCTGCATTAATCATAAGAAATTGTATACAATCATACTACTCTATTTTTCTCAGTATTATTTTCTTTTGATCGCTTACTTTTTTAGCTTGTCAGACTGATTCGAAGGAAAAGTCAAGCTATTTTGATTATTGTGTTGTTGTCGCCATTGTTGTTATACATGATTGTATATCTGCTGAAAAAATTACTGTTTGAACTTCAAAAAAGAACACTTCTGAAATGCCTGAATGGAAGAAATAAAAAATGAATGGTGCATGAACGAAATTCTTCCTAAATAGTTAAAGCCATAATTCAAAAATGCAGCGTAATATTTTGTTCAGGAACACTGTATTATGTTTACATAAACTATTCATGTTTGTTAAATAACTGAGACATTGTAAGTTATAACAATTTTGAGAATCAACCTTAAGATTATTGAACCTTTATGATTTTATTGTTTAAAAATATTTTATTATAATATTTCATTACATATAGCTTTATACATTTTGTTTATTACAGAATCTTACTTTTTTATTTTCTTGTACTGTATCAAAACATAATTAAACAAGCCAAGTCAATCCTCTTGCAATCCTTTTTCTTAAAAGAATAGTTTCAGAAATAAGTTAATGAAAAATTATTTTTAAACAAGTACTGTATTTATAACTTTAAACTTTATTTTTAACAGTGAATGAATTAAAAAAAGGAAAAAACAATATCCGTTTTATTTTTGTAATAGATTTTTTCTTTCATATTACATGTACAATATTTTAAAATAACTGTGCCCAAAATAGTTTTTCATAAAAGTAGCTCAAATTAAGAAAAACAAGTGCCCAAGTTTGGTTGATCTTTTTATAATACATGTACATGTACCTAGTCAGCCGATCCTGCACGAGTCAGATGTGTTGATGACCTGGCGGACATGTTCAATAGTTTCATAAAGAATGGATTTTTTGATTTTATAACAAAATATTGTAGAAGAAATGTAGATAAAAATTTTGTGGAGAAAGTAGCTCACATCCAGAAAAACAAGTGTCCAAGGGTTGTTGATCTTTTCATAATACATGTACATGTACCTAAAGGTCAGCTGATCCTGCACGAGTTTGTTGTGTTGTTGACCTGCCGGACATTATTGTTCAATAGTTTCATAAATGATAAGTGATTTTTGGGATGGATACTGCAGTATGGATCACGTTTTGCCATATATTATTATATTGATTTCAATTATCTTAGATAATTTAGGATGGATTATATTAGATACTGAAAGCATGGAATAACATGTGACACTTGGCTTTATGTTAAGAGCTCACCAATGAATACAATGTGGTAATAGACCCCTAATCCCACTAAATATCTTAAATGGACTTGTCCATCTTTGAATCTGGATGAAACCATTCATATTTAAAGGTTAATAGCTTACCTGAGTACAATGTGGCCATAGCCCCTTAAACCCACTATATATCTTAAAAGAACTTGTCTGTTTTTCAATCTGGACAAAACCATTCATATTTAAAGGTTAAAAGCTTACCTGAATACAATGTGGCCTTAGCCCCATAAACCCCACTATATATCTTAAATGGACTTGTCCGTCTTTCAATCTGGACAAAACCATTCATATTTATAGGGAAAGTTTAACAATGGACAGTGCAGACCATGATCAGATAGCAAGGAGTTGGCCCAGCTGATCTTGGTCTGCACTGGTTGCAGTGCCTCTAGCATGGTCAGGATTTAAGGTGAGCTTTTGTGATTGTCTGAATATGTATTGTGATTTATCAAGTACAACGTCTCCTGTTAAAATGTTTCAGCTAACAATTTAAATTTTCTATTGATCTGCCGTGTAGATTTTTACCAAACTTCACTGAAATGATCCATTGATTTTTACAAAAGGTTCACAGAAATGTTACATTAGCTGCCACATGTGCTAGAGATATGAGCTGTGCCATGACAAAACCAACATTATAGGATTTGCTACCAGCATGGATCCAGACCAGCCTTCGCATCCAAGCAGTCTTATCAGGATCCATGCATGCTGTTCGCCTACAAAGCCTATTACAAGTAGAGAAACTGAAAGCGAACAGCATGGATCCTGATGCGTGCAGATGCGCAGACTGGGTTAGATCCATGCTGGTATGCTGTAGTGTAAATTAAGGTTCTTTGATTCTTACATGTGAAGAATCCATCCAATTAAGGTCCCTGTTAAATGTGCCTGGATTAATGCACAGAAAGGCACCTGAGGTCTTCTTCCACAGTCCTGTAAAGCTGGAAAATTACTATACTGTGCATGTTTGACGTAAACCCCCCCCCCCCCCCCAAAAAAAAAAAAAAAAAAAAAATCCAACCAAAAAACAAAACAAAAAACACTTCAGATTAAGGGTTACAATGGTGTCACACAAAATGTGGATTGAAATAATAACATCTGTCTGGTGATATTTGGGAGACTTATATTAGAAGGCTTCTCTAACATCAATTATATGTGTCTTGTAGTTTCAGTATGGTTGTGATATTGTGAACTTGGGGGAAAAATTCTATAATTAGATTTAATTCATTTTTGTGCCTTTATGGATTAATACTAAATGAACAAGAATAATATTTCTTTAATTATAAGCCTGATTGGCCACAACAGATCCTATCCATGTGACAGGTGCAGGGCGCATCAAAGCTGTATGATCATGGTCCGCAATGTTTGCCACTCAGTCAGTTTAAAACTTTATCTTAAAAATGATGAATTATTTTGTCCAAATTTTGAAAGATGGGCAAGTCCATTTAAGATATGTGACAAGCATTTAAAGTCTTTTAGTATAAATGTGGTCTAAGGAGCACCTCCCAGAATCTCACTAGTCACTGCATATACTATAATAGATGTTCTTCAAGTTCTTGAAAATTCATTGAGCCGTGGTTAAGGTCGTTGACTCCAAAGCACTTTAGCCTCACCCCTGCAGGTTTGAATCCCAACAGGTACTTTTGATTCTGTCATGTGAGGAAGCTATTTATCTTGCTTAAGGAATGCCGATGGGTCGACTGAGAGGTGCCCATTTGTGCATGAAATAATGCACAGAGGGGCACATGATGTCTTCCTCCACCAAAAAAGGTGAAACGTCGCCATATGACCTACACTTAGCCTTAGCAGTGATAAATTGACAACAAACAGGTGATAGTTATTACATCAAAAGGTTGACATTGCACACGGTAAAAGCATTTTATTTATTGTTTGCTAGGAACTGAAAACTTGTTGACAATTTTTCTTGAAAGACACAAGCAATCATTTAGAAAACTTTTTCTTTCGTTTTAGATTGAGGAGCGAGAGTCTAGGTTTAAGAACATGCCTGCGTGGAAAAGAGCACTTGTGGAGAAAAAAGAAAAAGAGGCAGAGGCCAGGTCTGTGGTGATTTCTTTATATTAACTATTCTGAAGGTTTGATTGGAAGAAACACAAATATAATATCAAGGTTATGACCAACTTTATAGACTAACATAGGAATTAGGAATATTCAGGTTTTTTCCAGCTTATCCAACCAAACTTTTACATTTATACGGCTTTGAAAATAAGCGTAACATATTGACTTATCTATTGTGACGGGTAGTGCACCTTGAAGCTATAACGGTAAAAGTTAGTTTGTACCAACAGATAAGCTTTGAAAAACCCACATTTGCAGAGCTCAGGATAACGTCTGTTGATGGTGTCTCACTCTGTATTAAAATCCCAGTTTGTAGAACTATGGATTGACCATAGAAGAATTATTATATGTCTCTCGATCAAACAGCTATGAACTGGGAAAAGTGACTTGAAGTCAATGAATCAATATCTTTGCCACAGAGCACAAGTTGTGTGTTTTTGATTAAAATTTGTCGACTGACAGGAACATGTTCTCACATGAAGGCCCAAATCTATAACATTTGATTCAGGAAGTGACAAAATAAATTGACATATACTTAAGACTGTTTCACAATCATAATAAAGAATAAAATGTTGAACTGTTTAAACTAATATTGCAATATCATTATTATTTGTCGGGCAATAATTTTTTGGGTTCATGGTTTTTGTGGATAGGACAATCCACGAATTTATGATCCAATGAAATTTCATTTTATCTGCTGTAAGATTATTTGCATCACATTATTTACATTTGACTTTTCGTGAAATAAACAGTCCTTGAACTTAAGAACCCACGAAAATGTTATTTGTGACAAAACCATAAAATTTCATGCCCACGAAATTAAGAGAATTCACAGGGAGCAGTGTAAGAAAAAAATATATATGCAATAAATAGAAATTTTACCATGTGATGAGGTAATTTACTATTTATGATGTTTATTCTTATTTACACTTCAAACTGGTGATTCTTATCTTATGAGGATGCAGTTATAAACAAGGCCTTAATTAAGCTAGTCATATTTTCCATCCCACCGGTATTTATGGTGACTATTCCGGTGACGAGGGTATAAATAAACATAATGTGCACACACACATGCACACCTTTTAAATGATAAGTAATTTGTAGGTTGTTTTTGATGGGTTAAACATTTCATTATATGGATTTTGCTATATATTTATCAACTCATTTATAATTATGCCGATTATTGGAGATGAAATTATATGAAAAGTTATTTCAATTTTAGGTTGTGTTGAATGGTTCAAATATCTTATGGATTTTGCTACTTTTTATTTTTCCTATGTGAACTGGTACATTACTCCTATGTAAATTTCTTGTTACAGACTTGAGGAAGAAAAACGTTTACAAGAGCAGCAGCAACAGAAAAAGGCGGGAAATAAACGTGTACCAGCAGTGAATGTTCAGCCGAAAACAGGAGATAGCGGCACGTTAGCCCCATGGCAACAGGAAGTTCAACGAAGATAAAATCTTCATCCCTGACAATTAAATGTGTATTGCATACATGTATATTAAGTGTATTAAAGTCAATTTAAGTGTTCTTAAAAGAAACTCGAGACTTGACTTACGAGTTAAGAGATTGTATTACATGACTTAACCTAGTTAAGTGAAATTCATTTGAAATCATCTTAATTGTATAAAATGAAAGTTTAACTCAAATTTTACTGAAGTTAATAAAAGGTCAGTCAACCCTATTTTAGTGTTGTTGTAAGAGTTTTATCGCAACTTTGGTGTTGTATCAGTTATGCGGAAAAAACTCACTCATGTTTACTATGCATTCCTGTTTGCTATAAGCAGATTAACAAATCCTTTTGTATATGAACCACTTAAAGGGACAGCTCTGAAGTTTTTTGACGTGTCGGTTCTGGAAATATTTTACGAGATTTTTGTTCCATTTGATGTAGGTCTGGACCAATTACTTGTGTGCAAATTAATCCCACATTTTTTTCACTTAAAATGTTTCTATCATCATATTCTAACAACATGCAAAGTTTTAAGACATACTATTGACCAGTTTTAATTTTGCCTATAAACATGTATATCTGAAAACTCCCAAAAAAACGTCTCTAATGTACAGGAATCAATGTAAAGTCTTGACTAAACTAGGCTCTATTTTGTTTGTAGCTTTTATTTTCATATTTTGATATTGAAATCCCTTAAACATTGAATGGAGTGTTCTGAATTTGAAACTGGATAAAACTACAGGTCAAGGGTTAAGTCTAGTGCATGTTCCATCAATTTCTTTGATTAAAATTATACTGCTATGGGTTTGAATCCTGACAGGGACTTTGGATTTTTTTCTAGTGAGGAAGCTATGCAGCTAGCTTACAGAACATCGGTGGGTCTACTCGCGTGTTCATTTGTGCCAGAAATAATGTATGATAGGGCAACTGAGGTCTTCCTCCACCGGTAATGGTTGAACATTACCATATGACCTATACTATATCAGTGTGACATAATACCCAATAAAAAAACTTGTTACCTTATTTATTCAATATTTTAATCAGATTCTATCGCCACATAATAATGAAATGTTCCAAATTCAAAAAGATATGCTTGCAATTTAAAGCAACACAAGTCATTATCAAAGTTACGCTTGTTGTTTCTAAATTAGAACTTTCAAAACGATAATTATGCATTCAGTGTTCCAATATCAAAAACCAGATGAGTCTAAAATTTATCGCCAGTGTACTTCTTATTTCAATCTGATAACATGTCATGACATCCCTAACATTACAAATGAAACATTCAAACTTGGCATTTTTCCAACTTTAGTGCATTAAGACTTGTGATGTCCCATTTTGAATTTCAGTGATAGACTGTAACTTGGGTCAGATATTACTCTGTCTACACTGCATCTATGTATTAAGACAGTTGTCTTTAAAGCTGCATGCCTCCAGATAAACTATATTTCAAGAAAATCAAATTTGAGAAAGAAGTACTGAGATTTTAAGAAAAGTAGAAAGATTCAAGGTAAATGTAATAATTTCCATGTTATATGTGATTTATGGCTGTTTTTGCAGTATTTTCACGATATTTCTAATGCGTTTCTAATGCAGTTAGGGCTATTTTTGCATATTTTGACCTCGTTTGGTAATTTGTATGGGTTGCTGTTTGCAATATGAAAATTATTTACCTTATTCACAATATTTTCCTTTTTAATACATTTTGAAAAATTTCATGAAAATTTAAGCATGAATCTGGAAGTGTGCTGCTTTAATAAATGAAGAAGGATAGCTGTTTTGAGCAAAGGATTGTCTTATTGGCTAAGGATTTTTGTTTTTGACAAAAGGTTAATGTTTTTAGGCTTAGCAAAGTAACTGTAAGTGTTGTACTTTGGCAAAGGATTGTTGATTTTTCTTCTTGGAAACAATTTATATTTTTGGCAAAGGAGTGTTGTTATTGCTGAAGGAATGTTGTTATTGGTGAAAGAGTTGTATTATTGGCAAAATATTCATTTTATTGGCAAAAGATTGGTGTTATTGACAAAAGACTTGTGTTATTGGCTAAAAATTGGTGTAATTGGCTTAAGATTGGTCTTATTGGCTAAATATTTATATTATTTGCAAAAAATGGTGTTATTTGCAAAAGATTGGTACCGTATTATTGACAAAAGATTGTTGTTATAAGCAACGGATTGCTGTTGTTGGCAAAAGATTGGTGCTTATTGGTTAAAGATTGGTGTTATCAGCAATTTATTTATTTTTTATATGCAAAGGGTTGCCATTGTCATAAGCACTTGATGAATCAGGTCACTGAAAACTAATTACTATAGAACTTTGTTTAATATATAGGACTTTGTTTGATATTTGATCCAAACTTATATCGTATTGTTATTGACTGATTGTGCATGCATTTATTTATACATGTCTTTAACATTGAAATGGTCTTTTTGAATGTGTTAAGTTAATTGTTAAATGTCACTTCATTTTGGTATCTGTTTTTGACTTATCATTGCTGTGAACTTGCTATTATAGTGTATAATATAAATTCTGTACAGTTTATACATTGTATATAAATATGCAGGTAGCTTGCCAGTTGTTAATTGCCAAAACATTTACACTTGTTCAAGCCCTAATTTGGCCATGACCTTGTTTCCTTCTTTGGAACCAGTAATGATTTATTTAAGATGTCTTAAGAGTTCATTGTTCAATGAACATGGAAGTTAAATGACTGTAAAGTCAAAATGATATTTTCATACTCATAATATACTGCAAAATCATTATTATTCGTGGAAAACTAATTTTCATGGCATTTGTTGATTAGGTTCATCCACAAAATTTAAGTTCAAATTTTTTTTTATCTGCTTTAATGAATTAGATGTATAATATACACTTTTTTAAAAGGGCATTTTTAACTTTATATTAATAAACTGTTCTATATTCTGGACATAAATACAAAAAATAACTAAAGTTTAGCATATTGTTTGAAAAATATTGACAATTGAAGTATAACTTTTGTATCAGTTTTATACAACAGCAACAACAAAAAATAAATTTTATGTTTTCATTATCTGAAGAAAAGTTTTGTTAGCGTCATATTTTTCTTAGCTAAAATGTTGTAATAAAGAACCATAGTTTTTTTATCAATGACAAATGTCTACGGAAAGATATTTTGGTTTAGTTGCAGACACTTGTTTTCATCATAGATGAGGGTGGGTAAGAAAGCAAGTTGGTACTTGAGGTGAATTGAAGCTCTGTTAGTTACCAGGTGTTAAGTGGTCTACTGACAGTATTGACACAGATTTGTAGATACATTTTGTTGTTTTTGTACAATTCTACAATCATGCAGTTGTTGTTTTTATTAGAATGGTGATTACTGTTTTATTACATGTTTATGTTTTACCACTACGTTTTTATTAATCAAATATGCCTTTTTATATAAAAGCTGAACATTCCATATACATTGTGAAATCAGATTTAAATATTTTTTCTTGAACTTTTTTTTTTGATAATATAGATTGAACTTCTTTTTTGATAATATAGATTATATTATGATTATATATGTAAATTTAATTGGTTGTGTATTAATTTTACCATGACATAAAATGTTTGGCGATTCGGGAGTAGGGTGGTTGTTTTAACAATAGGTCCTTGCATTTATTATTCATTATTCAGGGGCTCTTATTTGATTTGCTGTTAATATATATTTAATGACAATATCATTGCAACTAACATTATATATATATCATGTATATTTTAAATATTTTTTTATATGATAAAAACTTACTTGCATTTTTTCTTGGAATATTCATTTTTAACTTATATCTAATCTTAAACATTTAGTATGTCGGCATATGTACTTTTAATGGACCTCTTAAGCCATAGGTGGTGTTAAAAGTCAATATGGTGAAGGTCCCTGATGCTAAAAATAGTTTTCCCTATTTTTCCTAAAATGAATGTCATGTTTTTAGTTGTTACATGGAACAACTGTCACTTTATTATCTTTACGTCCAACCTTAACCCTTTTAGTGGTAGGACTCGGTCCAAAATTTTTAGTTGAATAATAGCCTCAAAAAACATTTGACTGATTGATTTACTATGCTTAAGTAACCAGAATAAAACAATATTAGAAAATGTTGTTAAATCATGCCATGTATAAATTAATATGAAAAAATGTAGTATTATATGATACAGTATGTATACATATTATGTATTTAGGTGGTACTTGTCAAATTTTATGAAATAATCGACTTATTATCTAAAAGTTTCTCTGTTATTACATGTACTGAGCTTTTTGTGCCTTTGTTATTTAATACCAATTGTACAAAAGCTGATCCATCCAACAGAAGTTTACACTGTCTTTCTCAGTCTTACATGATGACCTTTTATGCAAGGCTGAATCTGACAAGGGGAACAACTCTGCACTGTAATTCTTTTCTGTTGTCATAGTAACGTCATGGACCATTTTATAATCATTTCATTTCTAATTGACTTATTAAACAGGCTATTACTACTAAATGTCAAATATACCATGATTCATTTTATCAGGAAATGTATGTATATATTTATATAGAACATTCCTTTCATTTGGTTTTTAGCTCAACTGTTCGAAGACTAGGCAGAGCTTTTGTACTCAACCAGGCGTTGGTGTCATATTTTGGTTAAGATTTTACGTGCACTACTTGGTATGTCCAAAATTACTGAACGGAATGGCATGAACCTTCACACACGTATTTGAAAGCATAATAGGAGGTCACTGTCCAATGCCCATAACTCTAATTAACTTGGATTTTAACAGAATTATGATCCTTTTTAATCGAAGAAAATTCTACATTATCAAGACTTGTGTTTTTCTATAAAGCACTGAGAATAGTTGAGCGCACTGTCCTACTGACAGCTCTTGTTTTTGTATGATATTTGTCTTTTGATATTGTTGAAGTATTGTTTTTGTTTTGCTGATTTATGTACTCAAAGTTCAGAATTGTATCGTTGTTTTTTGTTAAAAATGTCAGTTTGAAATACCAAGGTTACAAAGAAATTTCCCAAGCTCAAACTGAGATATCTTGGTTGGTCTGGGGTTATAAAAAATTCTCTTACCTTAAAATTCAGATTGCAGTATTGAGTGATATGATTGGTCTGAAATTGCTACAGAATGTTCACTGACCAATGAAAATATTGAGAGTTGAGACAAAACTCAAAAAAAAGTTTCGTAAACTCAAGGTAAACTGT